GTCCGCAGCCGGCCCTGGGCTATGCTGCAAGGCCGCTGGAGGGGCTGGCAGCTGCCCGGAAAACAGAGGGAAGGATTCAGCCTTCGAAGGTCGCAAGCCTTGGGGAGAGGATTTGGGGGGGCTCCCCCGTGCCACATCTTTGCGATGTCCCCGATGCACCCTGGAGCTGCCAGTCCCCACGGGTCTCTGGAGCCGGCCTGTGCTTCTCCTCCCGTCAGACCTTTCCCTGAGTCGCCGAGGGGGGACCAGCTCCGCAGCCCCCAGCGCAGTGCTCCCTGCCAGCTGAGCGCCTGGGCGGCCCACTGAGTAGCAGAGCCCCCGCAGCCTCCTACTGGTGGTGCACATCTGGGAATGCCCTGGTGCGCAGAACACACCTTATTCTGCACATGGAGGGAAAATATTAGAAGGAACATTGCCCCAGCTGCCCTTGTACCCCAAGGGGGGACCAGCTCCGCAGCCCCCAGCGCAGTGCTCCCTGCCAGCTGAGCGCCTGGGCGGCCCACTGAGTAGCAGAGCCCCCGCAGCCTCCTACTGGTGGTGCACATCTGGGAATGCCCTGGTGCGCAGAACACACCTTATTCTGCACATGGAGGGAAAATATTAGAAGGAACATTGCCCCAGCTGCCCTTGTACCCCAAAGGGCTTGGCAGTCCTCTAGCTCAGTGGTGGGGGGCCCTTGCATGCTTCAGAAGAGTGTTAGCAACACTCCCTCCCCTCCCTCCGTTCCTTCCACCCAGCGCCCCTCCCCACACCCCACCTGTGACCCCAGCCTGCACGGCCACAGGTTCTATTCCCAGCCCTGCCACTGGTCTGCTGGCTGGGGGGACCTTGGGTGAGTCACTTCTCTCGCTTTGTGCCTCAGTTTCCCCATCTGTACGCAGGGATGCCGAGGCTGCTCTCCTTTGCAGCCTGTGGAGAGAGGTGTGAATTTCCCAGTGTGAGGGAAAGGCCTGTAGGAATAAGAGCCAAGCTGAGTTTCTGCCCTGTGCGTCTTTCTGAGCCACAAGGCTCACCCTGGGCCGCCAGCCTCCGTAGCTCATCCCCAGACTTCGCTCTGCAGGTGCGGCCGGCTGGCTTTCCACATCCCTCTGCCCTACAGCTTCCTGCACTTACGCTACGTCGAGTCGGCCGTGCGCGTCACTCACGCCAAGGACTTCTGCGGCAACTGCTCCTTCTACTCCAACAGCACCCAGGAGGTAAGGAACCACTCCCGGGGCAGGCGGGTTGGAGGCCTCATCTGCCCCATCCCGAACCATGATCGCTATGCTGCACCCCAGAGACCTCAGGGCAGCAGCAGGAAGATAGCACAGGCACTGGCTAATGCAGTAGATGAAACTCTCCACTCTTGGTTGGCAGTATAGGGTTTATGAGAAGGACATAAGACCGGCCGTATTGGGTCAGACCAATGGTCCATCTAGCCCAGTGTCCTGTCTTCAGGCTGGCGCCTGAGGCTTCAGAGAGAATGAACAGGACAGGGCAGTTTTCAGGTGACTCATCCCATCATCCACTCACAGCATCCGGCAGTCAGAGACGAGGGACACGCAGAGCACAGGGCTGTGTCCGGGCCCATCCTGGCTAATAGCCGTTGATGGACCTAATCTACATGAATGTATCTAGTTCTTTTTTGAACCCTGTTAAAGTCTTCACCAAATCTTCTGGCAAGGAGTTCCACAGGTTGACTGTGCTGTGGGAAGAAATACTTCCTTTCATTTGCTTTAAACCTGCTGCCTATTAATAATTAGTCAAAATTAGTCATTTCTTTTCTAAATTCAACCATCCCAACTTTTTTTAATCTCTCCTCATATGGAAGCTCCTCTATATCTTGCCTCCTTTTGTGCCCCTTCTCTGCACTTTTTCCAATTCTTTTTTTAAGATGGAGTCACCAGAACTTCACACAGTATTCCATGCCATGGATTTACATAATGGCATTAAGATATTTGCTGTCTTATTATCTAGGCCTTTCCTAATAGTTTTCAACGTTCTGTTGGCTTTTTTGACCGCCGCTGCATGCTGAGCAGAGGTTTTCAGAGAGCTAGCCACAATGACTCCAAGATCTATCTCTGGCGTGGTAAGAGCTAATTTAGTCCCCATCAGAGACTCTCCACTCCCTGTTGACAGTATAGGGCATATGATACCACTCTGACTGACTGTATCCAGTAGGGGGCGGTGGTGACAAGAACTCCATGCCAAGTCATTCCACTGCAGAGTACACGCATGTCTGTCTGTGTAACACACCCGCCCTGATGTGACCTTCCCAGGCAAACAGCACGGCAGAGCCACATAAAAATGTCACGCAGCTTCCCGAGGTGGAAGAGACGCTGTCTTCTCATGACAGCGCCGCCCATCGCCCTCACGACCACGGAGCCGGTATCCACAGCCATCCGTGGACCACCACCTCTGCCCACAGCCACCACCGAGACCGTCGCCAGGCCCGTCACCAGGGGCAGCAGCCTGAGGTGCCCCCGCGCCAGGAGGAAGAGGAAGGGGAGGTGCCATAAAGGGGACAACCGGAGGGCTCGGCACATGTTCCCCATAGCAGGGTGGCTGGTCTCGTTCACCAGCATGGGTCTCTGTCTCCCAGGCACCTCCCATGCACAGCCCCCCTGCGCAGCGCCCCCCAGAGGTGGCCCATGGTGTGGCGCTGCCCCAGCCCAAGGAAGCCCCTTTGAAAGTGCCGCTGCAAATGTTGGCGCGAGACACGGCCCCACGAGGCCCCCGCTCCCAGCCCCTCCTCTCCATGCCTGTCCCTCTACTGTCTGAAGAGAAGACCCCCCCACATGGAGGCGCCGCGGCTGCCCGGCCCGGGGCTGATTCGGACCCTGCCCTCCACCGATCCCGCCTGCCTGCGCTCAATGAAGCCCGTGGCGCAAACCGGCCTCCCGGTCACCACAGGCCGACGCTGCGCAGAAAAGCCAGTTGGGGGAGCGGGAGTCCCGGGGGGCGGGGGGCTGCGGGAAAGTGCTGGGGGGGCGGGTCCTGTAACCCAGGGCCCCTGTCTGGTCCCCCCGCCTTGCTGCTGCTGCCCAGGCTGTCGCTGAGGGGAGGGCGTGGGGCCGGTGTGTGTGTAAAGAGCGGTCGCGCAGAACAACCCTACAAATAAAGGTCTCTAGTGTGAACTGGGCCCGCCTGGTTTCCACGGCGCCCGGGCACAGCTTTCGCCTGAGCCCCCAGTCCGGGATGGAAGCCTGGGGGGCGGGCTGCCCCCACACACGCAGGTGGGGCGCTCGTCTCTAGTGCGTTCAGGCCGATGCTCCACTTCTCCAGGGGCCCTTCGAATTCCAAATCTGAACTCCGACGCCCAGTGCCAGCCAGGGCCAGCCAGACCCCATGGGCTTTAGGGTTTGGAGAAGCCCGTTGAGGCTGGGCGCCAGCTGCTCCCGCCCCTGCCATGTCGTGTCCGACGGGCCCTGGGCCCGCGTGTTCCAGACACCTGCTCCTCTCGCCTCGGTGCTGGTCGTGACAGAAAGCCCAGCCGGCCAAGGCTCTGCAGGGCACAGAACTGTCTAGTCTCCTTGCCCGCTGCCATCTTGGCAGGACGGCGACGGTTCACCCTTGTGGCTTCTCAGCCCCGTCTCCCCATCCCCTGCCATGTCGTGTCCGACGGGCCCTGGGCCCGCGTGTTCCAGACACCTGCTCCTCTCGCCTCGGTGCTGGTCGTGACAGAAAGCCCAGCCGGCCAAGGCTCTGCAGGGCACAGAACTGTCTAGTCTCCTTGCCCGCTGCCATCTTGGCAGGACGGCGACGGTTCACCCTTGTGGCTTCTCAGCCCCGTCTCCCCATCCGCCACGGGCTTCCTCTCTCCCTGCTTCAGAGTGGGTCCCGTGGCCTGTGCAGGGAGCCCGAACAGACACCACTTCCCTGGACTGTCCACACCCCACAGCTGCCCTGTGGGACGGGCTGAGGCCCCGGGTTTCCTGGTCTGAGGAGCCGCCTGCCCTCAGCCCTTGGTTCCCCTCCTGCCCTTTGAAACATTTCTCAGCCTCCCTCCCCTTGTTCCACGGCCCCCACGCCCACGGGGACACCAGAGCATTTGGCTTTGTCCCTAACGGCACTGGGCCTGGCTGGGGAATGGATTTCTGCAGGGCTAGTCCTGGAACGGGGCTTTCCACCTTCCACAGGCCTCGGTTGGCACGACAACCAGGAGCCACCGGACTGTGGCTGTGGGCCAGGCCGCGAAGCCCCGTGGCACCAAGGGCAGCAACCCGGCTCCCTCTGTTGGTTCCCCCCCCCGGGGATCCCTGCCCAAGCACACAGGGTCATCGGCCCCACGTCCACAACGTCCTCAGACGCTGCTGATCGCTGTGCCCTGGTGTACGAACGATGGGACGGATCAGGAGAAATGTGGAGCCATTGACCCAGAACTCCCTGTGATGCCAGCCAGTATCCCACAATCCCCTGCAGCCAGCGTGCTGCCCCGCACCCTGGCACGAGGGGCCCCGTGCGAGCGGACACCAGAGCCTTCCCCGTCACATGGGATGAATTGACCCAGCAGAGGCGCACGAGCCCTGCGAGATGGAGGCAGAGCATTTCCTGCCCTGGCCCAGTTGGCTCCCTGTCCCTCACTGCTGCTGTCTTTCCTGCTGCTTCCTGGGCTGGGCTCCTCCGACTCTCTGCCTGCCCAGCCCTCGTCTCTTTTCTCCTCCAGGCCCCTCGGAGAGACCCACTTCCTCCACGGCTCCCCTGGAGCAGGAGTAACCCCCTCGCCTCGTGTGGTCACTGTCCTATGGAGGGGCACGCAGACCACTTACAGCGCTGTCCCTCACTGCTGCTGTCTTTCCTGCTGCTTCCTGGGCTGGGCTCCTCCGACTCTCTGCCTGCCCAGCCCTCGTCTCTTTTCTCCTCCAGGCCCCTCGGAGAGACCCACTTCCTCCACGGCTCCCCTGGAGCAGGAGTAACCCCCTCGCCTCGTGTGGTCACTGTCCTATGGAGGGGCACGCAGACCACTTACAGCGCGTGGTACGAACAAGGGAGCTCTACAGCCTCACCTGAGAGTCAGCCGGCTTTATTGCTCCAGCTGTAGCGGCTCCTACACGAAGGTCCCAGGTTCAGATCTGCCCAGTGACAGTTACATTATCTGCCCGGCGCATCAGATTGGCTCAGGTCTTGTCCCTAGGGATCTAAACTGGGTAGCAATCTGTTTAGGCTTGAAAAGAGGGGAAGGTGTCTAACCAGCCGAGGGAGCGATGCCCTGCACAGCCTCGCAAGGGCAGTAGAGGGGGCTAACACCCCCAACTTCCCACCTGGATACGCTGAAGCAGAAGATAATGACGCTGCTGTTCTGTGACTACGGGCAGCCAATGGCTGGTGATGATGGACACTGGGTGGGGAGGACCCCGAGTTACTGCAGAGAATTCTCTCCCTGGGTGGCTCGCCCGCATGCTGAGGGTCCTAGGGCTTGTCTGGACTGACCGGAGGGTTGATGCTGCAGCGGTCGATCTTCTGGTGTTTGATTGAATGTGTGTGTGTGGGGGGGGTGCGTCTACACGGCAATAAAAGTCCCGCTTCACGGCGGTGCTGGCCCCGGTCAGCTGCTGGGCCGCACAATTGCCATGTGGATGCCCTGGCTCAGGCCGGAGATCTGGGAGCCTGTGCCTGGGACCTGCGTGTTACTGCAGGGGGCCCTGACCACGGCAACACCTCTCCGGGCCGGGTGAAAATGGGGAGTGTCCTCTGGCTGAGCTGGGAGCAGCTGCCCTGACTGCGGAGTGTGTGGCGGGCAGAAGCCTGGTGCCTACTGGTGCCAAGGCCCTCGCAGCCCCCTCTGTCCAGAGCCTGTTTCCTTCCTGAGCGGAGGATGAGACCAGCCCTGCCTGCAGGGGAAGCAGGGACTCAGCCCTGCCTGCAGCTGTTCTGCGGGGCCCAGGTCTCTCCGCATGAAGCAGCAAACTGGGTGTTTAATCCCCCTGGGCCCAGCTCCGCAAGCAGCAAACCGGGAAGGCAACCCCTGAACCGCAGCCCCCTCTGTCCAGAGCCTGTTTCCTTCCTGAGCGGAGGATGAGACCAGCCCTGCCTGCAGGGGAAGCAGGGACTCAGCCCTGCCTGCAGCTGTTCTGCGGGGCCCAGGTCTCTCCGCATGAAGCAGCAAACTGGGTGTTTAATCCCCCTGGGCCCAGCTCCGCAAGCAGCAAACCGGGAAGGCAACCCCTGAACGAACTGCAGGTCCAGCCAGTCCCTGCTTGGCTCTGCTCCCCACCGCCCTG